CAGGCTGACTCTCATCTGTGCTGGAGATTAAACAATCAGCAAAACACTGTGCGGTTTGCACTGTCAGTAAGTGTGTCTGGTGTGCTGTCCAGGCTGGGGATGGGGGAGGGATTGCTGACTTCATTCAGCTTCTGCCAGCCCCATTCTGTGATCTAGAGCCTTAAAAATGTCTATTTCTGTATCTGCTACCAGCTCAGAGCACAGCACAGTCATGGTTATCTTTTCTAGAGATTAAGTGTACAGCAGAGTTAGAAGCACATCATTCCTGGAAATCCCTAAGTCCCCCTACACTGAAGGCAGTCTCTCCCACCAGTGACTAGGACTGACCACTGGTACCTTGGGAGGCCAGAACTGATCCTCATCCCTCATCTAAATTGCAGCTGCATCTCTCCCCGGCCAAGAGTGGCTGATGGGGGGTGTCATGGCTTCTAAGACAAAAGTAACTAAGACACAACTCTCCTTGTCTCCTGGTGAGGGTAGGACCATTGTGATGGCAAGAGGAAACCTGTTGAGCTCCAGCTGCCCTCCCTGCCCTGGAAGATGCTCACTCTGGGCCCAGTGCTCTGTTAGGATGAACACGATCCCATTTCTTACCTCTGCATAATCAGCCACGAGCAGGAGCTCCACGTACTTTGTAGCCTGCAGAGTCTCCCGTTTCACCTGCAGCAGCAGCAACACAAGTTATTCCCCCAACATCCCCCAAGAAACTCTTCACAAAACCTATGTCCAAGTCATTTTTTCCAGTTTGTTTCTCATTGGCCATTCACCCCATGAAACACAGGGTCCTCTAGATGGGATTGACTTAGAGCAACCAAATATCACAAGTCAGTTTAGCTACAGCAAGTTCCCATGTGTCTGTCCTCAGCCCACCCATTTGCTCAAGCACCAGACGCAGAGATCTGTGCAGGAACAGCTACAGCTCACAAGTCCCCAATACTCATTTATTTCCCTGCTGGAGTCACTGTTGTTACAAACCCTCTTAAATATTCTCCTTCATTTCACTTTCTGAGCTATGCTCCTAGAGAACAGCAGGTTTCTTGGCCTTGGAACAGGTGGGAAATTTGGAGCATGAAGCATGGACCCAGGCTGAGCCCTGCTCACCCTCTGGCCTGGTGGTTTCATCCCCATTGTGAAGTCCCTGAGCCAGTCTTCAGCTGCATCTCCAGTGCCCTGGTAGCCACAGGCTCCTCTCTGCAGCCTCAAGTTGTCTGCCCTGTAAATCAAGTGCTGGTTTGGGCTGTCAGGGGCTGGCTCCAAGATATAGCTGGAATTGCTGCTCAATACGATAAGTCCACTGGTGAAACAGGAAGCAATAAAAGGGAAAGTTAATTACTAATACAGCAACTGGAGACAAATCCTTCTGCTGCTGCTGAGTTCCTGTCTGATGCACTTCTCCTTACCAGGCCATTCAATTCATTAATAAAATGGATGGGAATATTTGGAGTTCAGAGAGGGAATCCCTGGGCTTGCATATAGTAAAGTCAGTGGGCCTCAGACATGAAAAGGCTCTGGGAACATGTTAGCAGTGCTAACCTGAGAAGTACTGATTTTTTTAACGTACAGCTTTTTCTTTAGGGGCAGTGGAAGCTTTTCAACCAATTGAAGAAATTTGTCTTTAAAAGAACTGACCTGAAAAAATGTGAAGACTTTTGTTTGTCAACAGAAAAAAACCCCACATTTCTTTCTGGGATGTGCTCACAGCCGCACATGGTTCTGATTTTCTCAATGAGCATGTTATAGCCAGGAGAGCTGGAAATCTGTGTTTGATGTTCAGTAGAAGACATGTAGCTTGACAGGCAGGACACCTCCCTGTGCAGGCTGAGTGAGAACAGCCACGTGTGCTCAGCTCCTGTGCCTCTCCAGCAGTTAGAAAATGATGCTGAGGAGTTGCCAGCAGACACTGACAGCTCAGGGGTGCAGGAACCCTGCTGCATGGACACACTGAGCATCTCTGTCCCTCTGCAGCTGGAAGGCAGAGCTGACAGAAGGACAGCACACCTGTGACTGCTTTTGCTTTTGGATTATTTGTTCCAAGCCACAGGTGGCTGCACTGTCCTGTTTACCTCATTGGGCTCTTTGGCCTGTGCTACATTCACTGAAGATGTCTCAGGTTTGTTTTGGCACAGGCTGTTTCCTGGCTGGAGCCAGTCCCATCAGCTCAGCTTCCAATAGGCACTCCAGAGCAGATGACCACTAATGTCAATAAAACCCGTGTGATGTTTTGGAAACAAACTCTGCAGTGGTGTAGATGAATGCAGCTTGTTGATTGCAATGAGATGCTTCATTTACTCCTGGCTGAGGATACAGGACCTCTTTTCCTGGTGAAGACTCCATCACTCCCAAAGCAAAGGCTTCCATGCATAACACACACACACACACACACACACACACACACACACACAACCTTGGCACCATCCAGAAAGAAAGCAGAGAATGGGGCTGACAACCCAGAAGGAAGCTCAGACTTGAAGACTTTGCCCCAAAACACACACATAAACTTGCCAGCTGTGAGAGACTAGGAGAAGGAGCTGGTTTCTGCACTAGTGTAGAGTATTGGGCTGGGACATGGCGAGTCCAGCCCCTGGTCTGTAACAGATGTAGCCCTGAGACACCAACAGGAGAATCTTTTGCTTCAGTGGACTCTCAAGTTAAACTCACTCATTGCACAAGTCCACATTGCCAGCACAAAGTGGGAAAGCTCCAGGAGCTGGTTAGGAGACCATGGTTACTAGTGATACCTCAATTTCTGCATTTGTCCTAACACATTCCTTGTTAGGCCCAGGACTCTTGACTAGGTGGCCTTTCAGAACAGGTCTATCCACCCAAAACTAGGGCAGCCTGGCTGCTGGGGAGCAAAGCTCAGGTGGCAGCATGCTGAGAAGCAGAACCAGAGGCATTCCCACAGCTCTGGCATCACCAGGCACTTACCGCAGCCCTCGGCAGGTGCTCAGTGTGACACTGGAGTGCTCCCAGCCCCGCACAACCCCGTGGTAAAAGCAGTGGTCCTGGAAGGCAGAGGGAGGCAGGGCTGGCAGTGCAGTTTTGGGATGGACACACACTATATTTAGACATCGCTGAGTCCCGTGCGAGTGCTGCTGACACTCCAGTAATTGTTCTCTTTCCGCTGCGTTTGGCAGCTGACTATCATCACTAAATCTCTGTGACTCTGCATCGAAATTTGGCTTTTCAGCTGCCATGCGTAGTCTGAACCAGAGCATCAAACAGCTCCTTGTTGCCAGTAAAAATCGAGAGCTTTGAATCCCCAAGGAAGGAACTCAGATGGTCGCAGCATTTAAGGCTGACCCAAAGCTTTCTGCCTGTGACAGGAGCTGCCCATCGATGGCAGCTGGCCCTGGGTCAGGCCCCAAAGGACATGCCTTCAGCCCCAGTGAGGGTGACACCATGGGCAGTGGGCAAGTCCCTGTCTTGGGGCTCCTGGTGAGACAAAGGCAGCCTCTGGCTGGGACAAGGAGGCTTTGGGGCAGAAACACCAACATATTCATCACATCCCTTCCCCTCACCCCAGGGCAGCATTAGGAAAAATGATCTCATGGGGATTTTATCTCTTATTTTTGCTTCGTGACCAATGCACATCTTTGTGCTGCTGCTGCAGCAGAGAGCCAGCCAATGCCTGCATGAGATCAGTAATTTATGGGATTGTTACTGAACAGGAGTTGGTTTATAGGGGCTGGTTCTCCCAAAGGCTGGGAAGGTCCCCCCTGGTGGCAAAACTAAAAGCAAGAGGACAAGCAGCGTGAGGAAAACAAGATTCTCCAGCACCCAGAGAGAGGGGAGCAATGCTGCTGGCTGACCTTGGCTCTCATAACAGAGCTCAGTCAAAACAGCAAGATGTTTTTACCATTTTTGGGGGATAGAGCAGCTCTTTTGCTGGAACTTCCCAAGTCAGACAGTCAGACTTCTTTCCCTGTCAGCTTAAAGCTGTTGGGACCTTTGCCCTTAAAAAAAAGGCCCTGAAGGGCCTCACCCGTTTCTCTGAGCTCCCCACCTGGTCTCCCCTGCAGCCATGAGAGGGAACATGTTCTGCACTCACCGTGTGGGTCAGAGGGATGGTCTGAGCTTGTCCAGTCTGGCTGTAATGAGTCTCAGCATAGCCTGGTGCAAAGAGGTTTCTGCAGACATAGTGGAGGGGGTGAAAGAAAAGAAAAAAAAAATAAGACCTTTCATTAGACTTGGATTTCTGCTTCCTAGGGGTGCAGGAAAATCAGCTAGATGCAGCTCTTTCTGAAGTCAGTGTGGATCCAATACAGAACCAGCACTGCAGGCTGTGCTGCCTTGTGCAGTGTGCTGTGATGGCAGAGGCTCAGGAGGTGGAAGCACAGCTGACCTTGCTACATCCATCTATCTGCCACCCTGGCAGGAACTGAGCACTTCTCATGGAGCACATCCACTCCTGAAAGGGCACAGCAAGCCACCTAAGTGCTCTTTCAAGCCATTAATTAAATTAAAACAATAACAGAGAGCCTGTCCCTGAGTTCAATTAGGCACCAAGATCCAGTTCCAACAGCTGCAAGTGAACAACTCAGTTTTTATGTGAGGACTTAAAAAAACCCAGAAACCCAACATCATCATCGACCCTTAATGGGTACAAGCCTCTGAGCAATTTCCTTTCTGTTGCCAGGTTATGCCCCAGATATACTGGGATTAGATTCAGAGCACCAAATCCAACGTAGCAAGCACTAGAGGCCAGTTAAGGACACATCTGGGGACTGATGTGAGTTCTCAGCTCAAATTCAGACTGTCTCCAGGGCCCAAATCTGAGCACAATTATAAACCAAACTGCATGTGCATTTCAACTTCTGCTCAGAAGCCGATTCACATCTTTGTTATAGGAAAATGCTGATTCCCCAATTTGAATTTGTTCAAGCCATCCTTATGTACACAATATTCTCCCTGTCTTCAGCCCAGGATCAGACCAAAAGTCTATAAAAGGAGCTCCTGTGCACTGAATAGAAAGTGTTTTGATTTTGTTCCAGAGGAAACAGCCTTCTCCTTCTTTTTAAACATCTGCATTTGCTAAACAGTGATGTAAAAAAGTACAGCAAACCAAAATCTGGGCCAAACCAAGAAGGTCATATCCTGTGTCCATCTCAGCAGCCATAAATGTAGGTTTAAAGCAGTTTTTTTAAAACAATAGCTTCACTTCCAAAAATTTGGAGAAGGATCATAGAACATGCAACACACTTCTGCAGCAGCCCCATGGTGCTGTCAGGCCACCAAAGTGCCACATTTGCTATTCACAAGGATGCCACCTGTACCCAGAGCAAAGCATTGTCAGCTGCAGCTCAGTCCTTCTGCATCCCAGTTTAATGCATTTCCTGCACCAGATTTTAGAACTATGAACTGCAAGAAAGCAAGAAAGAAAAAGGTTTTTATCTTTTCTTTGCTTGATTGCTTTAGGTTGGATGAAGAAACTGTAGCAGAAGCAACCCAAAGATTTTTCTGTCTGCCTTGGCTTTTGCTGTGTGGCAGACAGATCTAACCTACCTTGAAAGCCTCTCTGTTTAAATAAGGGATTGGGTGCTTGAGATAACTAATTAAAATAGGTCAGGACAACAGGAAACGAAACCTTTTATCAGTGTTTGAAAGTGCTTCACCCACCCAGCATTCAAAGGCTCAGACACCTAAACAAGTACCAAGGGCTTAGTGACAGACAACTGTGCCACTGTTGTTTTTGACAGCATTTGATGTCAGGAGTACAACAGCTTTTATCTCCACTTACAAGGTTCAGTGTAGCCCAGAAAAGCTCATTTTGTCTCCTTCTGATGTGTTAATTCTCATCACTAGATGCCATGGGTGATCAGAAGGTGAGATTGCTGCACTCAGCTATCCTGGGTCTGCAATAAATCCAGCAGCACCATCCCACAGAACATAACTCCCTTCATCTCCTTGACTTCAGCAGCTTGCTCAGCATGAGGGTGCAAAAACCCAAATGTTTAATCAACATATTGCATTAACCCTCAGGAAATTGCCTTGAGCAACATGCAGGTATCTGGTTTGTGTCATCTCAAGAGCAGACAGTAAACCACTGTGTATCTGCCCCGTGCTACTATAGCCAGACACCAGCCCAGGGGTTTCCAGTAACTGAGACTTGCACAGTCTGCTTGTCTCATTCCCAAACAAGAACGTTTATGTTTTCTTCCTGCTCCTTTATTCTTGGAAAGCATTTGCTATGAATAGCTATTTTATCTCTCCTCCAGCATCAACCATAAAACTCCTCAGTGCTGCGACTCCTGCCCAGCCCCATGGTGCTGCTGCCCAGCCCTGGTGCTGAGCTGTGCTGAGCACCAGAGCCTGGAACACCAGGTTTTAGGGCACAGGATGAGCCACACAACACATGGTGTGTGCATATCTCTTCCTGCCTAGGCTCAGGCTCTGGCCCCACGTAGGGTGGATTAAGGAACTGAGAGCTCTGCCTGGATTTTTAGGGTCACTTACACAGCTGCGGAGCTGAAAGTCTTTATCATCTCCATGTTAGGACTTTCAAGCCTCTCTACACCAGTTGACTCCTATTCTACACCACAAGCTCCCTACAAAAAGTCCAGTTTCTTATTCTGAGCTTGAAACATTGCTGTTTTGAAGACTGTTCTCTGCCTTAATGCAAGAGAGACCTGGGGCTTTCTCAGCACTGGGCTGTCACAGTGGATTGCACAGTGTGCGGTGGGAAGAGCAGTGAGGAAAGAGCAAAAACAACAGGACATCTTGCAACACCCTTGGGGTACTAGCTCACTTTGAGCCCTTAAAAGTTCATTCCCAGCCCAGTTCACTTCCTCAGCTTACATCAAGCTCATCACCAAACTGTAAATAAAAGGCAAACAAGCCTTTTTGCCACCTCAGAGTACCCAGAGTTATCAGCCAGTCTTGTCCCTCTTCTCCATGTGTATCAGTTGTGGGATAAACAGTAGAGACACTCATACCCCAAAACCTTATCTGCCATCATTTCAGGACATCGCTGCCAGGCTGAAGAGCTGATTCCATGGGAGCTCAGCCCGGCAAAGCACTGATGGAACTGCTTCACTATTTCCACAAGAACACAGAGCTCACCTCCTTGCTGAAGAAGGAAAGTCTGGAAAAAACAGCACAATTTCATTCTTTCTTCTCAGTTACATTACATGTCTCAGGGACCACCCCTCCAGCAGCTCATGCTGAAGAGGCAAAAGTTTGGATGAAAAACAGCATCACTTCAAGGCTCCTGAGATCTAGTCAGGCAGCTGGCAGATCACTTAGCACACATCATCTTGCTAAAAGGCAGCACAGAGTCCCTCATTAGAGGAGTTATCAGCATGAAGAATTGATGAAGTCAGAGGAAAAGCTGGTTTGGGATGGGAGTACTCTCCTTTGCTAAACCTCGATAGCAGCTGCAACCTATTTGAGGTCAGGGTAAGCTACATACAAGCACTTGGGATGTTCTAGAGAAGCCCTCACACCTTCCCAACACGGACCAGCTTTCAGCAAAATCAGTCATTCCCCAAGATCCAGCTCAGTGTGGAATAGGCTGCTCTTGGCAGGACTCGTTCCCCGGAAAGCCTTGGGAGCCGGGTTAAATACAAGCACGGAAGCCAAATGAAGGAAGAGTGGCTCAGTGCCATAATGTACAGATGGCTTGAGACTGTTTCTGCTGATGACCAACGTGGAGAGATCTTGGTCCCACTCCAGGCTGTCAATGATATCATTGTTTGACACAAAGCCCTCCTCCCTGTGCTGCTGTGCTGCTCCCTGCAAGGGCCCTGCGTGCAGAGCCGACAGGACATGGCAGCCTAGCTCTGTGTTGAGATGCTGTGCCAGGGAGGTCACATACTTTGCACATGAACTGATAGCATTCAGCTGTGGGTGTGGGGCAAACCTAGCACTCTTTGCAGGCAGCTGCCCCTGTGGCACTTGGGGACAGTGCAAGAACGTGGCCTGCAGCTCATCTGGCCACTGCTGAGGAGCAGAGAAGCAGCTGCAGGAGAGGGGCTGCACAGCACACCTAAACACTCCCAAAAACAGCAGGAGAAAAGCTGGGGCCCTTCTCACATGACCACATCCACTTGAGGGAGTGCACGTTTTCCGCTTGCTCTGGAGAACCTCACCCCTATATTCCCGATAAATGGGAGCAGTTTTCTCTTGCCTGTGAAACATCACTTGTTAGCATACGCCTAAGAGGGGCTCAGAGCCCTCCATCCCAAGGGACTGCCATGAATGTGCACAGTTCCACCAGCCAAAGATCACCCATGAGCACTGGGAGGGCCCTGACTTCATGCTGGTGCTCTTGCTAATTGGAGCAAGAAGGATCTTTCATAATTTGGTCCCGTTAGTAACCTTGCTTGGGTTCATTTTACAGAGGGTCTAGTCTGCATGAGCAGCTGCCAAATAAAAAAAACTCCAGAAGTATCTAGGAGATGGACAACAGCTGCCAAATAAAAGAACTCCAGAAGTATCTAGGAGATGGACATGTTTTTTATTTCCTCCCAAAAAAACAAAAGCCAAATGGTCCATGAAGCTCTTGTGAGAAACACTGACATTAATTTTTCAGTCATGGGACTGAAGAAAGCAAAGCTTGCAGTTTCTTACTGTCCCTTTCCTCAAATCACAATAAATCTGTCCAGCCAGGCTGCCAGCAGCTGGGGGTGGAGGGAATTGATTCTCCCAAGAAGCTTTAGACATCAAATTTCCATCTACAATTTGTGGTCCCATTCCATTGCCTCTCAGCAGGATCCAAGTAGGGTAAGAAGGGGAATTTGAACCCTTATCTCCCAGTCACTTCAATGTTCCCCAAAGTCAGAATTCATTCCCAAATCCTGAGATGACCCCATCTTGAACAGCACCGACACATGACCCATGACAACATGAGCATGCAGGCCTGTTTTCCATATCCACCACTAGTGGGAAATGGGAGATTTCATGTCTCTGGAATCTTCCAGTCAAAACCTGGCACTTCATAAAACCAATGAAATCCCTTTTTTTTTCCCTTGGTGTGTTCCATCCAGACAAAGTTTGGAGCCCTCAAGCTCCCTTTCTCAAGAGCTTTTGCTAAGAACATATTTATTGTGCAAACACAGCAGTTTGGAAGGAAAAAGTAGCTTCCCAGCTATTGAGGTAGAACTAAACAATTAATTTGTAAGGTCTGGGAAAACATCACAGGCTAAGGACTCTCCATCCCCTTTTGCCATTCACATCATCTGTGACATTCACTGTGTAAATCATGACACAGGAACCACGCAAGATTTGTCACATAGCCCCATGGCCTACCAATGGGAACCATTAAAATTGCCTGGAGAGGAAAAAGGAAATAAAATAAATGGAAAGTTGGCTGATAATGAAAAAAAGCTCCATTTCCTCCCCTCTTCCTCTCTGCCCCACACAGAGGAATCACCAAATATCCCAAGGGAATCAGGAGGCTGAAAAGCAGCTATGGCTTTTCAGGTCCCGCCCCTGTTTTTCTGATGACTCCAAGAGACAGTAGAGCAGGATAAACTCAATTTCCCTCCTTTACGTAATTCTTTCCCCCTCCCCATGAAGGAAGCCCATTAGACACTGATGATGTGTAGCCCATCAGTGGAATAACCTCCTATATCCTTCCTGCTCGGACATGGGCAGCAACCTCCTCTCTTCCTCACTCAGTTGGTAGAAGAGGCACTGGAAATGTGCAAAAGCAGGAAACAGCAAAATACAAGTGACACACAAATCTCTTATCACACTGCTGAGAGCACTGGGCAGGGCAGGAGTGCTCACTGCCTACCCAGGTGGAGTCAGGAGGGACTGGAAATCATACTGCTTCCTATCAGATCCAGTTGCCTAAAAACAACTACCTGGATGACTCCTGAGGTCAGACCAGATGAGGTTTGGACTTGTTTTACAGTGTCCTCAGCCTTGATAAACATCTCCATTAAGGCCCTACCACCCAGTGCCTCTCATCATCTCAGCTCTGTGAGTAGGCAGCAGCAAAAATAGGCAGTTAAAACACACAGCTGTGCTCCAGGCAGCTCATGGGATTCACCTGCAGGCAGGGACAGCCCCTGGAGAAGCCTCCACTACCCCTCACAGCTGAGAGGGCCTTTCCCAAGTCTGCTGCTCCCATGGGAGACACAAAGTGGAAGAGAAGAGGGAGGAATGTCTTGTTGATGCTTTTACTGCACTCAGGTGAGAAGACAAATTCCATGCAGATTTCTGCTCTGCAAATATGGGCTCTCCTTTTCCCTATGAAAAGACTCACATCAGGCAGTGCTGCCACACACATTGAGAGCCTCTCAGCATCCCCTCCCTGCTTGGCTAAAAGCTGGTTTTTATTAACAAATGCAAATGCCTTTTATAAAAGTCACTTTTCATCCAAGGTTTGCAACTTGGATTCTTCCGCTCCTAAGCCCCAGCCAAATTTAAAGCTGCTTTATAGGCATTTCTCCATATATTTGTTGTTTGTGCAGCTTTGAGCTTTCCAATCCCACAGCTGCAGGACATGGTTTTGAGTAATTTAAAACAAGCCTTAGTCGTTTGGGGGATATACTTTTGTCGTTATTCAGAAATGTTAACTAGTGTCATGAACTCTGTTTGGAACTGCAGTGTAGTTCTGCCTTCTTATCAAATTCCTGAACAGGAAATAATGCAATATTATGTTAACTGCTAATGCAATAATTGTAGATATATGAAGCCTAAATTCAGATGTGTGCTCAGCTTATTACGAAACACTGAGCTGTGCACAGCTCTGAGGCAAGATATGCAATAATCTGTGTTTCACCTCTGTGGATGAACACAATGTCCTTTTCATAAGGAATATGAAATCACAGGCTTGGTGTGAACATTTCTTCCACATCTTGAAACCAGCAGATTTCTTCCAAAGCTAGTGCATCCCTACCAAAACTGTACAGATTACGACTCTTCACTTTTCAAACAGCCTCATCAGCTCTGTCTCTCCATAAGGAGAGTGGTGAATGTGTAAGGGAGATGCCTAATTCCCTGAGAACATCACTTGCAGCAGTTTTACTAGCTTGGCATATCTCCTTTCTAGCTTTGGGATCCATTGGGCAATTCATATCCCAACCAAGCCTGAATTATGCCAATCATTTCATGCTTGCTTTGAGTGATGCAAGTCTGAGTTTCCAGAGGCTCCTCTAAACTAGAGTAGTTAAATGACATAGAACTCTGAGGCTTATTTAAATTTAAAAAGCCCCAGGTACCTTTCTTGCAGTTGCAGCTCTCTTATACCGACTTTCATGTGAACTCACAACCAGGAGCAGACAAGTTTTGGACAGCTTTGAAGGGACACTTCCCACCTGGGGGATTTCACTTTCTCACTCTGGGAACCCAAAAAACTCTTCACAGAACAAGAATCATCATAGAATCATAGAACTTAAGGGTTGGAATGGACCTTACAGATCATCCAGTCCCACCCCCCCCTGCCATGGGCAATGACGCCTCCTCACTAGATCAGGTTGCTCAAGGCTCATCCAGCCTGGCCTTGAACACCACCAGGGTTGGGGCAGCCACCACATCCCTGGGCAACCTGTTCTAATGTCTCACCAAAGTCCCAGAGGCTACAACTACTCAGTACCCCAAAACTCAGCTAGAACCTCAGGCTCCCCTGCAAGATAAGAGCAGTGAGGAGCTCCTGGGTGCTGTGGAGCAGGCCCAGGCTGGATCCCGAGGAGCCAGGCTGGGCTCTGCCTTGCTGCACACTCTGACAAGGAGGAGCTTTGCCTTCACTTAGCTCCATCAGATCTATGGATAATGATTAATACAGAATCCACAGGGCTCCCAGGGAATTCATGCTTTTGTTTGCTTCATCATTCCTCTTTTAATCTGAGTGTCTCTAAATTACTTCTGCACCTTTCCAAGTCTCTGAAAAGTGGTGGCTCTCCAGAACTGCTCCACTAATCATGCTGAGACTTACATTATGGGATTGTACCATCACCTTCCTTGTGCAAGGACTTTAGGCCTGGCAAGACTCCCACGTGAAGCACTGCTATCTATGAATCACCTCCATTTTCCACAAGAAAATAACAATTAAACCTCTAACCACTTGCTGTATTTTGTCAGCCTTAGGAAGGAGACCCATTCTGCACTGGAAGTGTGTGCACACGCTTAAGCCTTGTGTGTATACATCTCAATGAATGAAAATGCATTTCAGGAAATAAACACAATAGAAACCTTCTATTATTATAATTCTGTTTACTAACACCAGCAGTGAGGTTTTTCTGTGCTGGAAATAGCACAGCACAGCTCCCACGAGGCACCTGGAGGTTACATCATCCTGCTTGGAGCACAAATGGATTAACTCAGCAAGGATTCTTGCTCTTGCCAGCTTCTACTGCGCCAGAAATATTCAACTCTGCATAGCAACTGCAGAACCAGCAAGACCTGACAGTCCTTCCACCAAGAAGGAGACCCCCAACAGCATCAGCATTTCAGAGCCTGACATGGTACCACTGTCATCAGCAACAGCTACTTCTCCTGCATCAGCCAGGACTGAGCTAGCAGTGCTTATAGTGCCTGGTCTCAATTTTCCCAGCTGAGAGATGCCAAAACACACAGGATTTATAGCTGTTTCTGTTTAGTTCTACACAGGTGCATGACTGCCTGTGAAAAGCATCCAGCTTTTCCAGCACTGAAACTCCTCTCAGTCGCTTTTGTGGCTTATTACAGAAAACACCTCATAGGATGCACTTGCCTTTCATCAGCCATCAGATTTCAGGCTTTACTGCAGACAGGGCCAAGAAAAACATGGTTTTCCTCCAAAACACCCTGAATATATCATTTAGGTTTATGCACTGCTACCAGAACTAATAAGATCTTCTGACACTTCACTTCTGAGGAAAGCTGAGCCCTCAAGCTCTGTGGTAGGGATGTCCATACAATAAATACATTCAAAATATGACCAGGGTGATTATTTCAAGGTTATTATTCCTACTGATTCTAGCAGAAAAACATTTGATTATGATTTCATAGATAAATCTTTAGACCCATTGAAAAATAAACATCAACACTGCAAGTGAACTGCTTAGCAAAAACAAGTTTCTTGCAGCTTAATTTCCAGCTGCTCTTCCACTACTGGAAATTAATGTACTCGGAGGACCTTTGGGGCAGACTCCAGACCACAATCCTTCTACCTACCTTAATCTCCTCCAGCCTCAGGTGAATTCAATCTGCATCATGCCCCATGATACCACACAGCATTTGAGTTAATGCAAAAGCATTTTTTCAGTCTACTTTAGCATGAAGGGCACTAATGGAATTGAGTGTCAGATCATTTCTCCTAGGAAGTGGAGCAGGACCTCTTTGGATCACAGCAAATGAAATCCTCATTAGAGGCACACTGACTGTAAAGCATCGAGCCATTTGGTAAATAGTGTGCCTCATATCAGCAACATTTTCCAGTTAATGTAGGAAGAATTATGATGCAAAAATAAGTTTACACACTGAGGGCCAGGTCACCATCTGCTTTTTGCTGACAAAGCTCTGTTACAGTCGTGCTTGGCTGATTAACATCTGAGGAGACTCAGACATGGAATAACCTTGAGATCCAGAGAAGGACTTCCTCATCCTGTCTTTATCAAAACCCTGTTGAAGTCAGTGGAGGTTTTCCTGTTGATTTCAGTGTAATCCTTATTCATTATTTTCATGAGATTACAATGCAAGGCACCAGCACACTCACCTATTTTTCTCCAGTTCCAAGATGAGCTCCTGGCCTTCTGCCTTTACTGTAACTTCAGCTCGGAGTGGATGCTGCATGCAAGAAAGAAGGTGCCTGTTACTCATACATCATAATTATGAACACATCCACAAACACAAATTGTTCCCCTGGAAATTGCAGCTGACCTTAAACCACCCCTTGCCTTCCTCCTACTTCAGACCTGGAGTGATGGGGAAGGGAAAGATTGGGCCATGGTGGCTCCCAGCTCCAGGTATCCAAGCAGGACCACTACCTAAGGTCAGCTGGGGATTTCTGAGTCTGAATGCTTTCTTGGAAAGGAAATGGATAAGTAAATTACCCAGAAGAGAAATAACTCATTTGGTACCAACAAACTTCTCTATTCAGCTGGAAGAAAAAAAAAATCATGAGAACTGGTGAGATAATTAACCCATAGTATTTTCTAAATGAATGTTGGAGGGGATTTTGCAGAACAGAACAACTGAAAGCAAAATGCAGCCAGGCTGACTCAATGGGATGCTCTGATGAAAGAGAGATCTGTCAGCCCAAAGATATGCTCGCTCACCACTTCATCAGATCCAAACTCAGTTACAAATTTCTCCTTTCATCAGCTTCCTACTCATATTCTGAGTTTTGTTCATCCTTCCTTCAGTTTCCATCAGGCCCATGCAGATGATGCAAAACAAGTTAATACATTTAGTATATACAACCAGGGGCTAATTCCAAGGGGCTGAGTTTCCTTTACTGAATCACAGGAGCTCAGTACATCTCAGGGTAGGTCTGTGTTTCACTAGCTAACATGTAAGCACTGAAGGTTGCCTTGCCCATAGCTGGGGGGGTCTGAGGGTCTCCATCACCATAAAAGTCTCTTTGCAAAGGTTGTGCAAACACCACTTTTTCTAATATTGCCTTGCCTTCTCCTTCAGTAATCCCACTGCTTCAGAGTCCATCAATTGCTGTGTAACTGAAATATCCCAGCTGTATATAAGCTTTGCTAACACTGAGCCAAGAGGAACTTGCCTGAAACAAACCAAGTATGACCCCTGAGACCCAGCAAATTTGTATAAGGGGAAACGCTGTCCAGATGTATTTGCATCACTACCTATAAGAGAACCAAAATTTGCTGGCAGCACTGGAAGGGCATTTTAAAGAGAATTAAGATGATGAGAGTCATTATAGTTTTTTTAGTGTGAGTAATATGACACAATAGTAAGTTTTAGAAAGTTTCATCATATTGAAAAGACCCGTAACAAACCCCCAAATAACACCACTTATACTCAGGGAAAATCATAGCATCTTCCCATAACACTGTAGCTTCCCTTTTTCTGGTTCACAATGTAATCACATCTAGATTTTCCTGTTTCATTTGATTATGCAACTGATTACTTCTTTATTGTGGCAACACAAAGGCTGGGAAGTTGAACTGTGGTTTGTGTGCTGAAGTTTGGTACCTTAGCAGTTCTCAGAATGGCCAGAGACTATTGGCACACCATCCATCCATGTTACAGAAGCAGAAGTGTGATCTGTACCCACCACATCCAGTGTCTAAGACACAGTTAAACCCACCTGAGCTGCTAGTTGACTTTTCTTATTTAGTGAAGCACCCTCACAGCTGGGATTTATAGAACCATAGAATGAATGGTTTGGGTTGGAAGAGACCTCAAAGATCATCAAGTTTCAACCCTCTTGCCATGGGTAGGGACACCTTTCACAAGACCAGATTGCTCAGAGCCCCATCTAACCTGGCCTTGAATACTACCAGTGATGGGGCATCCACAGCTTCTCTGGGCTACCTGTGCCAGTGCCTCACCACCCTCACAATCAAAAATTTCTTCCCAATATTAATATAAACCTGCCCTCTTTCAGCTTAAATTAAAGACCCTTTGTTCTGTCATTCCATGCCATTGTAAAAAGTCCCTCTCTGGTTCTCTTGTAGCTCTTTTAGGTACTGGAAAGTGCCACAAGGTCTCCCCAGAGTCTTCTCTTCTCCAGGCTGAATAACCCAAACTCTCTCAGCCTGTCTTCATCAGAGAGGTACTCCAGCCCCCAGAGCATCTTCACTGCCCTCTCCTGTACTCACCCTTTGTTCTGTCATTCCATGCCATTGTAAAAAGTCCCTCTCTGGTTCTCTTGTAGCTCTTTTAGGTACTGGAAAGTGCCACAAGGTCTCCCCAGAGTCTTCTCTTCTCCAGGCTGAATAACCCAAACTCTCTCAGCCTGTCTTCATCAGAGAGGTACTCCAGCCCCCAGAGCATCTTCACTGCCCTCTCCTGTACTCTCTCCAACAGGTCCATGTCCCTGCTGTGCTGGGGACCCCAGAGCTGGACACAGTACTGCAGGTGGGGTCTGCCCTGAGCAGAGTCAGAATCCCCTCCCTCGACCTGTTGGTTCTTTTGATGCAGCCCAGGATACATTTGTTTTTCTGTGCTTGTCTCCTAAAGCACATGCCACTCTCTGGCTGTTCCCTCCATGCCACAGGTTCTATGGCCCCACTCCCCTTTCACAGCCCATAGATCAGGATCCAGGTTTCAAGGCACGGCAGAGCGCTGGGTGAATACAGTTGCCAGGTGTGCCAGCCAGCTCACCC